GGGGGTTCCGGGGGCGGGGCGGGGCGGGCTTTCGAGGCGAGGTGGAGGCAGCTGGAATTTGCCCCCACCCCCGTTAGGGGTTGTATCACGCAGCTATCAGCGTTCGCTGGACACACCCTTACTTGGAGCCGGCAGCGCGGGCTGTGCAGGGCCAGGACTGGGCATGCATGTGCATACATGTGTCTCCACCGTGTGGGCCTTTTCCTTTGTGCAGGTACTGCCGTACGCTGCTGCTCTGGCTGCTGTCAGGCGCGCCAGTGCTCCATCCTGGAAGGGCTCTGGCCCAGCATCCTTGCCGGCCCTCCTCCCCATTAGCCCCAGGAGCGTCTTCTGCGAGCAGCTAGCTATGTGGTGGGATACGCGGTCCCGCAGCTTCCTTAGGTGGTTTCAGATACTGGTTCCAGGTCCTGACAGGAGGCAAAAGACTAACTCTGTTCAGCAGAGCTCCACGGGAGAAGCCTAAGCAAACGTGTATCTGGTCAGGTGTTCACTCAATATTCTAACATGGAGGACCCTGAATATCGGGTCATCAGAGTACCAGGATCACCCACATGTTCTGAACCAATGCCCCCCAAACCCCAGACACCCTGGATCCAATTTCCAATAGTAGCCACTCATTGCAGGCTTTTGGGCTGTGATTAAGAGATGATGTTAGTCCACCTGCAACGGGATTTGTGCAGAGGTTCCTCCCTTCAGTGAGGCTTGGGCACTTTGCATTTTGCTTGCACAAATAAAGCAACTGTTTTCATAGCAACCTCTTGCAAGAAATTCAGAAAGGGGTTAAAGACAAAGGAGTCGAACAGCCCTGAGTTGTGTTTCCACAATGGTTTCTGGCTACATATGGTCACAAGTATTTCTGAAGAACCAAATGAAGTGCTTTCTATTGGTGTAGTCAGAACCCGGATGCCCAATCAGAACCAGTTGTGAGTTTGGGTCAGTAGACACCAGCACATTGCTAAGGAAACTGATCATGTGGAGCATTCTGGACTTTGCAGATCCAGTGACCGCAGCTTCCTGGATTAGGCTAGATCCTTATGGATGAGTCTCATGAAAGAGGAATATGAGGCAGGAGAAGCTTATGAATAGAAATGAGAGCAAAAAAAAAAGAAAAAAGAAAGAAAGCACTCAGAGGGCTACTCTCCTTTCCCACATATGTACATTCACAATCTTCAAAGGTTTCCATGGAGATGAATTGGCTGAATTTATAGCAAAATGTAGCAGGTAGCGCCTGTCCTCAGAAACCAGTTATGTGCCCCCATCTCTAACACACTGCTTCACCTGGGCCATAGAAGGGTGGGTATGTGACCTCCAAGTTCCCTTTTTGAGTTCTGAAATCCTGTAACTGTAAGAAGAAAGGAGCATATAGTTTTCAATAGCTCGTAACTCCTCGTTCCTCCAAGAAAACAGTTATTGTCTCCATTGCTTTTGTGACTGTGAACATGTTTCCGTCTTCTCTCCTTCCCTACCCTCCACTCTTCCACGCTTCCTTTTCTCCTTCCTAATTATGATCTGTTTCTTGTCTCTGACAAATCACGTTGCTCTAATACATGGCGAAATTAAGGAACAAGTCAGAATAGCCTGCCTTTCTCTCTGATTAACAGTCACATCTACTGAACATTAATTATATGTCCAGAGTTTTGGTAGGCTGTGTCAAGTACAGCAACTATCACCAGCATATAATAAGTGACTGCTCTATGTCTGGTATGATGGTAGGCATTTCACAAACATCATTTAAGCCTCACAATAACCCCTTAAGGGCTTTCGTCTCATTTTACAGATGCTGCTGGTACAAGGACCAAACTGTGTCTTAATAATCTTATGGATCTAGACCATTTTCTGCCTTAAGGTAAGGGTTTTCCTGAGCTTGCAAAGAGAAAGCATTCTCCAAGCACTGCCAAGGTGGATTCCACCTCCCTGGTAGTAGACTGTCAGCACTGCCTCTGACAATGAAGAGAGAGACAAAAGACCCACCTTAGGTGCCACAGGTGAGGGTGAGGGATGCCTGGGCCACCACTGGGATCAGCCATGTCAGTGGTTCTCACATTAGCAGAATCATCTGGAAATACAGGTGATTTTTTAAAATACAGATTCCTAGTCTCACCTACAGAGATTTTGATTCAGCAGTGCAGAGTGAGACTCAAGAACTTGCATTTCTAACAAGTCCCCATGAATACTGATGCTGTTGGTCCTAGGACCACACTCTGAGCACCACTGGCTTAGAGCAGGGCTCTTCATATTTCTTAGAGTGCAAACCACCGTGTGATATAAATTTTACATCATGACACAGTAGACATACTTACACACAATAAAGCAAAAATTGTATAGAAAAGTTGTCCCTTACCACATGTGAAGCCCTGAAATACTTTCTATTCTATTTCATTTTTTCAAAACAGTAGTCCAAACTGGGGAGATTTGTATTTGGAAAGTATGGCATTGTAATTATGTAAGAAAATGTCCTTATCCTCTTAGAATGTATATTGAAGTCTTTAGGGATGAGACATCATTGCCTGTGATTTCAACTACCTTAGCAAAGAGAATAAATGAGATAAATACTGGGAAATATTAATCGTTAAATCGAGGTAGTATATGGGTTATTTTAGTATTCTCTTTACTTTTCTGCATAAAGTTTTTTCATAATAAAACATTTTTTAGAATGATTGTTTGGACCTACTGAATTGATTTCATTACCCACTAAGCAATTGTTTCCAGCAGTATGAAAAACATTGTGTTAAGGCAGAGCAGAGGAAACAAGAAAGAAGAGAAGTGATGATGAGGAAGAGAAAAGGAAAGGAGAAGGTGACAAAAGATAGAGGATAAAGTAGGTAGAAGGGCACTGCAGGAGGTAGCAGGAGTCACCACAAATTCCTCAAGATGATGCCCCTATAAAGGGCCTCTTCCTACACATCCCTGTCTGCCTTCACTGTATCTTCCCCTTTGGACTTGGGCTACATGGCAGGGAAAATACTTTATTCATCTCTGTAAACCTCACTGCCCCGGAAGAAGCGAAGAGTGAGAGACTGTCCCTCAGTCAAAGCCTCTCATTTTACAGAGGTTGTACCTGCCTCAACATTGCGATGGTGTTTCCTCCAGTGCTAGCTGACAGGATAACCCTGAGTTGGGAGCCCAACCGTTCTAATATGCAGGACCAGACTGGGATCTTTGTCTAAGGGGGTCACACCACGTGCCACCTACTGCACAAATGACTTGGATAGGTGAACCCAAGAAGTGAAAAAGTCACCTGAGCTCACACCATTCTGATGGTTGTTCCACTGCCATCTTTTGTCTCCTAAAACCAACCTGAATTGCCTTTGTTCCTTTGTCAAAGATCAATTGACCATATTTGTGTGGTTCTATATCTGGGCATTTTATTCTATTCAATTGATCTATTTGTCTATTCTTTCACCAATACCATTCTGCCTTGATTATTGTGAATTTTACCTCCACGAGCTCTACCAGGCCCTCAAGTTCTTCCAACTTGATCTATAGATTCAAAGTAATCTAAATCAAAATTCCAGCAAGTTACTTTGCAGATATTGAAAAACTGATTCTAAAGTTTGTATGGAGTGAACAAAGACCCAGAATAACCAACACACACAAAACTGAAGAACAATATTGGACCAACACTACCCAACTTTGAGACTGATTTACTATAAAGCTTTCGTAAGACACCGTGGTATTGGCAACTGACTAGACAAATAGATTAATCGAAAAGAATAGAAAGCCTATAAATAAACCCACATAAATACATTAATCGACCTCTGACAAAGGAGCAAAGGCAATTCAGTGGAGTAAAGATAGTCTTTTCAACAAATGGTGCTGGAACAACATGCACGTGCGCGCGCGCACAGACACGAAGAAGAATCTAGACACAGACCTTACAATCTTTACAAAAATTAACTTAAAATGGATCTTAGACCTAAATTTAAAGTATAAAACTATGAAATTCCTATAAGTTAACATAGGAGAAAAATCTATGACCTAGGGTTTGATGAAGATGTTCTAGTTACAACACCAAAATACGACCCACGAAAGAATTGATAAGCTGGACTTCATTAAAATTAAGATTTTTCTGCTGTATGAAGATACCATCAAGAGAATGAAAAAAGAAGCTAGAGACTCAGAGAAAATATTTACAAAAGACATCTGCTAAAGAACTATTATCTAAAATATACAAAGAATCCATAAAACTCAACAGTAAGAAAACAACCTAAAAATGAAACAAAGACCTTAACAGACACTTCACCAAAGAAGATATACAGATGGCAAATAAGCATATGAAAAGATGCTTCAAATCATATATCTGGGAAGTGCACACTAAAACAACAATGACATATCAATACACATCCATTAGAATGGCCAAAATCTGAGATACTGATGATAACAAACACTGGCAGGGATGTGGAGCACTAAGAACTCTCATTCATTGTAGGTGGGAATAAAAAATGTTTGGCTGATCTTTACAAAACTAAATATACTCTTAGCATATGATTCAACAATGGTGCTCCTTTGTATTTATCCAAGAGTTGGAAATTTATGTCCACACAAAAACCTACACATGGATGTTTATAGCAGTTTTATTCATAATTGCCAAAACTTGGAAGCAACCAAGATGTCCTCCAGCAGATGAATGGACAAATAAACTGTGGTACATCCAGACAATGAAATAGTATTCAGCACTAGAAAGAAATGAGCTATTAAGCTTTGAAAAGACATAGAGAAAACTTAAGTACATATTACCAAGTGAAAGAAGCCAATATGAAAAAAGGCTGCCTACTGTATGATTCCTACTATATGACATTCTGGAAAAGGCAAAACTATGAAGACAATAAAAAGATCAGCGGTTGCCAGCGGTTATGGGGTTGGGAGGAATGAATAGGCAGAGCACAGAGGATTTTTAGATTAGATTTTTAGAGCAGTTAAACTACTCTTTGTGATATTATAATCGTAGACACAGATCATGAAAATTTTGTCCAAACCCATAAAAGTACAACACCACGCGTGAACGCCAATATAAGCTATGGGCTTCCAGTGATTACAGTAAATTAATGTAGGTTCATTAATTATAGCAAGTGTACCACTTTGGTGGGGGATGTTGAAAATGGAGGAGGCTATGCATGTGTGGGGACAAGGAGATACACCGGATATCTCTGGATCTTCTGCTCAATTTTGTTGTGAACTAAACTGCTGTAAAAAAAAATAATAAAGTCTACAAACTTGCAACTAGAAGTTGAGTAAGTTCTGGAGATTTAATGCACTGCATAGTGATTATAGTCAACAATACTGTATTATATACTTCAAAGGTACAAAGAGACTAAATCTTAAATGTTCTTACCACAAAAAAGAATAATTATGTGACACAATAGAACTGTTAGCTATGATAGTCTTATTGCAGTACATAAATGTAACAAATCAACACATCGTACACCTTAAACTTACACAATGTGATATGTCAATTATACTCAATTCTTAAAAATAGCATTATAGAAAAAATTAAGCCTATTAAAAATTCTGTAATTTAGGTTTTGAGATAAGAAGAGGATTTTTTAAATACATGTTTTTCACATTTTTGAAAATGTTATGAAATTTTGTATTCTTACCCCACAACCTCTTAATATTCTACACAGGTACCATCTGCACTCGGAGGCTCAGAAGATTAAAGGTCATGAAGGGTTCCGCGCTCTGGAACCCACGAACCCACAAACCCCCAGGAAGACCCATGGATCCAGCACCTATGTTGCCAAGGAGACTGAGGACAGAGCAAAGCCCTCCGGAGTTGGAGCCCAGCCCACCGGGCAGAGGAAGCAGGGACCACACCCCTGCAGGCACGCAGCCCGACAGGCCAATCGCCACGAAAACCCTGCTCGCTCCTTTGATTGGTTTTAGCCATGACGCGCCCTCCCAAATGCCTCTCGGATTGGCCTATTTCTTGGTTCTGACCTGGACGGTGGCCAGAGGAGGACAAGAGGCTTCTGTAAGGGATGGAGGGACTGAATGGAAAGACGGCTGGGATGACCTCTGAGGCACAGCCGCACATCGATTAGCGGCCGGGCTCCAGGGACGTGGCAGCCGCTTCTGTGGTGTCGGTGCTGCTGGTGGCGACTGAGAGGAACCGGTGGCGGCGTGGACTGAGCCTGCTGCTGCTGCTACTGCTGCAGCCGCCGCCGCCGCCAAGGTAACGGGGCGGGGTAGAGGGGGCGTTCCTACCCTGCGGCGGGGCGTGGGGTGCTTGGCCTTCCTGAGCAGTAGGAGATGCAGGGGTACCCGAGGGTCGAGGGGGAGGAGGAAGACAAGGGAAAAGAATCTGCTTTCAGTTCTATCTCCGAGAGAGAGTCCTACACCCGTCCCTTCTCTTCCCCGCTCTCTACGTTCCTCCTTCAGGCCGCCGTTTGCCTCGGTTTCACCATTTAGGAGGTGAGGGGAATGGCCCTGGGCCTGCTGTCCTTTATGCATCCCTCGCCGTGGAGGCAAGGATAGCTTGCCAGATTTAGCAATAAAAATACAGGGTGCTAATTAAGATTAAATTTCAGATAAACAACAAATAATTTACCAGTATAAATATGTCCCCCATATAAAATAAAATTAAGATATAAAATGTTATATGTTATTTGTCTGAAATTTAATTGGGCACTATTTTTTATCTGGCAACCCTAGGCAAGAGTAACACTTCTGCACTTCCTAAACATTTACAGTGTGCTTTCATAGCACTCCCTACTTGGGGAGTGTCATGAGAACCCATGTCAGGATGAAACCCAAAGGGACTTGCCCAGGGTTACAAAACTAGTAAGTATTAGGGCCAGGACACCTTAAAAGCTCGTTTCAGACCTGTTGTCCTTTATCAAGTGTTCAGTTTGAAGAAAGACTCTGGGAAGTTCTTTCTCATTGTTAGAATGAATCTAGTTAGCAAAAGCAAATTGATCTTTCAGAGGGGTTGGAGAGTTGTTTTAGATTCAAGTTCTCCACTGTGGCATTTGCCTTATGTTTTTGGAAAGAAATAACTGCATTAAACTGTCAAGGAATATTTATTTTCTATATGATGTTGAAAGCACATTTTATATATTAAATCACAATGTCATATCATTTGGCTTTGATGTCAGTGGAGAAGGTTATATTCATATGTATTACAAGAGATCTATACATCCCTGTCCAGGTAGGGATTAAAGAAGTATTGTATAGAAGCTAAGAGTTCAAATTCTGGAATGGGACACGGCTGAGTTCAAAGCCTAGTTCTATCACTTTGATGGCAGTAGACAAGTTACATAATCTCTCTGGGTCTCAGTTTCTACTTTAAAAGAGAAGTGATAATAATTGTACCCACTGTTGTATTAAATCCTTACCAAGTGCCTGGAACATTGAAAGCACTAAATTAATTTTAGCTATTATTAGCTATAATAATTTGACCGTTAGTTAGTGTGAATCTTTGGCCTAAATCATTAGATAATTAATTTAAAATTTTTAAATTTTACATTGAAAAAAGCCAAGCAATTAAGAATATTATGGACATCCTGAGTTTCGGTGAAAAGGAATGTACTGTTCATTAATAGTTAAAGCAGATATTTTAAACCATAATATAGTGATTTACTAAATCAGATAGCTGTAAGCTGGGTTAATATAATCATATATTTATGTATCAGTCTCAGTCATTCTCCCCATGTATGATTTATGTGATTTTCCTTTTCATTGTGTTATAAACAGGAAGAAACATTACCAGATATCAAGGGAGAGAAAATGACAGGGTGATGGTTAAAGCCAGAAAATGAGTTCACAGTCAGTGGCTATTTCTAGTGAAGTAGACTGAGTATGTTTTAAAAACTAAAGATCAAGCTTTGTAGATGTTTTATATTTCTTTGTATATTGTTTTATTTCCTTGGTGTTTACAGTGTTAAAGTAGTTTACTTACAAACTATTCCCTAAAATTCCTCTTAGGAACTTTTCCCTTTTTTCCTCCAAAATACTATAAAAACTTTTAACCACTTAGAAAGGTATATGGGATTTTAAAGATTCAAGTTCTAATCTTAACATCTACTATTTATTACTCAAGTGATCATAAACAAGTTATTTAACATATCCGAACCTTGGTTTATTTGTAATATAACTAACAAAAACCTAGTCCCGCACTCCCCAAATTTATAAATGCTATCCATTATTGCTATCTATTATCCACCAGGGAAAACTTAACCACAGATGAATCCAACTGTTTGTCTTCTTTGTGCCTGTAGGATGCCTCCTAGAGGAGCTGGAGAAAGTTGTACTCTGGGAAGACTTGTACTAAAATTAATTCATGGTACAGTCAACTTCACCTGGGCTTTCAGCACTATGCAGCAGGCCCCAGTGTTTCTCTGGCTACCTCATTCTTCCATTTTATGCTACTGCCGTTTCAAACCCTCTTTATTCTCTTCAAACTTCTAACAAGCCATTCTCAAGGAAGGATCTCAATGTTATTTAGAAAATACAATACCTGAGCTTCTGAGCTTCCTGCCAGCATATCCACCCACCCACCTTCATCTCTATCCATCCAACTTCCATAAAAGTCCCTTCTTCCCCTCTCACCACCTCAGGGATCTCTACCACCAGTTATCTCTTCTGTCACCTACATGGGTAACCACTCCCTCTTTACTAAATTCTTTCCACCAATATTTAAATATTCTGCAGTCTCCCTCCTTCGGGTAACAATGTCTCCACTCTTCCCCATACCTAACACTTTCTTCTCTCATTTATAATCAATTTTTAAGAATTGTCTGCCCTGCTGTTTCTATTTCTTTACTTCCCATTCTCTTCTCAGCTCACTCCTACTGTGGTCTGTCCTCACCCCTCTACTAAAACTGTTTCTGCTGAGGTCACCAATAACTTCCTTGTCCCTAAACCCAGTGGACTTTTGACCTCTTAGCAGCATTTAACACTGTTAACCAGTGTTCAGGCAAACTACAGCATGTGGACCAAATCCAGCTTCAGATTGTTTTAATATGGCTTGTGAGCTAAGAATGGGTTTTACATTTTTAAGGAGTTATAAAAGAAAAACAAAGACCATATGTGACAGAGATTCTATATCCTCAAAGCCTAAAATATTTACTGTCAGGTCCTTTACAGAAAAAGGTTGCCAACCCCTTCTAGAGATTACTCCCTCCTTTTAGAAATAAATTCTTCTCCAGGCTCCCACGGCCCCTTATAAGTCTAGTTTTCCTTTTACTCTTTTCTCCTCTCTTTCTCAGTCTCTTGCTGGATTACCAGACCCTTAGATGTTGGAATTCCTCAACACTTAAGGTTGGAAGAGAGACCTTCTCACTGTACACTCTGGATCTCATCTTCTGTATCTTTGTTGGAAACCTTAAATTTCTATTTCTAACTTAGGTTTTCTTTTGAGCATCATGAATGTGTATTCAGCTTCCTGTTCATCATCTTCACTTGATGTGCTACAGGTACCCCAGACTCAAGATATTTGAAATTAAACTTACCATCTTGTACTAATCCTGCTTTTCCTGCAGACTCTCGTAACTCAGTAGATTATAGCATCATTGCTCAAAAAGTTAATGCCAGAAATTTGGGAGTCTTTGAACATCTCTCCCTTTCCTTTCCCAGTCTTGCTCCACCCACATCAAAGCAATCAACAAGTGCTAGTAATTATATTGCCTACACATTTTTTAAATCTAATTACTTCTTTATGCCCAACACCATGCAACCACCATCGTCCCTTGCCTGGTCAAATGCTTTAACATTCTCCATGGTCTTCCTACTTCTCTCTTATCTTTTTAAAAACATTATTTTTTATTGGGATATAATTCACATACCACAAAATTTACCCTAAGATGTACAATTTAGTGGTTTTCAGTATATTCACAAGGTTCAAACATCTTCACTATTTATTTCCAGAACATTTTCATCACTGCAAGAAGAAACCTCATACCTGTTAGCAGTTACTTCCCATTCTTCCCTTTCCTCAGCCTCTGGTGACCACTAATCTACTTTCTGTCTATGGATTTGCCTTTTCTAGATACTTCATATAAATGGAATCATACAATATGTGGTCCTTTTGCCTGGCTTCTTTCACTTGGCCTAATATTTTCCAGGTTTATCCACATCGTAGCATGTATATTTCATTCCTTTTATGGCTGACTATTATACCACTGTACAGCTATATTATTTTTTTTATCCATTTTTCGGTTGATGGACATTTGGGTTGTATTTTCATGTCTGACCATTATGAATAAATGCTTCTTTGAACACTTAACAAGTTTTTGTATGGACATATGGTTTCACTATTTTTTTTTTTTTTTTTTAGATCTACATGTAAGAATAGGATTGCTCGTCATAGAGTGACTGATTTTTTGAAGAACTGCCAAACTGTTTTTCAAAGTGGCTGCACCATTTTACATTCCCATCAGCAGTGCAATGTAAGAGGATTCCAATTTCCCCACATCTTTGCCAACACTCGTTGAGAGATATTGGTCTCTAGTTTTCTTTCTTTTTTTTTCTTCCTTCCTTCCTTCCTTCCTTCCTTCCTTCCTTCCTTCCTTCCTTCCTTCCTTTTTATTTGTACTGTCTTTGTCTATATTTGGCAACAGGGTAATACCACCCTCACAAATGAGTTGGAAACTTTCCTCCTCTTTTATTTTCTGGAAGAGATTGTATAAAATTGATGTTAATTCTTTAAGTGGTAGAATTCTTCAGTGAAGATTTCTTTTTTGGAAGCTTTTTCATTACAGATTTTTTTTAAATGGTTATAGGACTATTCAGATTACCTATGTTATATTATTTTTGGTAGTCAATGGTTTTCAAGGAATCGATTTCTTTTAAATTGTATATGAGCTTCAATTTATGAAGAATCATTGAAAGTTTTCGTATCAGCATATTTCTAAAAATGGGCACATGGTCATGCAATTAATTACATAGGTATAAGTGACAAATATACATAATTACTCTGAGTAAGATCTAGAATTTGTGGAAATAATGCAAAACCATTATTTCTGACAGTTTCTGAAATGAGCAGCATTTCTCGATGAAGCATATAAAGTTGGCTTTTCCTTTTATCTTCTTACATTTGATACATAAAAATGTAATACTGAGTTTATTAGAAATTTCTAGTAAATGAGATTTATTTAAATTAACTATTATTCTCTCTCTCTCTCTCTCTCTCTCTCTCTCTTTCTCTCTCTCTCCCTTTTTACATCCAGGAATGAGACTTTACTCAGGGCTCTGCTCAGTTGTCACCAATTCAGGGAGTCCTTCCTTGGCTATCTATTTAAAATAGGACTCTTATTTACATATTTACTGTCTGTCTTCTTCACTCGAAGGTAAGCTCTGTGACGGCAAGGACTTTATTTTGTTTTCCTGCTGTGTCTAGTACCTAGAAAGTTATTAAATAAATAAATACATCTCTTTCAGGTTCACACAACTGGTGTTACTTTTGGTCCTGTTTATCGGGGTGGCCTTGGGTTATCCTGTACATTTCTCATTCCTCATATCAAGATATAAAATTCAAATCTTAAATTTGGAAAGAAGCTGCTTTGAAGTCATCTGTTCCAATCCCCTCCCAGTATAGCAGTCTTGCGTGTTGTGTGCAGTCTGTTTTGTGGGAGCATTCTGAATGGTAAGTGACAAGACTTATTACTCATTACTAAGCACTTAGTGCTCTCCAACCATGAGCCGGTCACTTGTTTCCACCCCACTACTTTGTGGCCCCTTGTCACACCATAATTCAGTTTTGAGTCCTGCCAGCCCATAGTAGTTCAGTAGAACACGTGCCCTATAAGCATTTTTCCTGAAAATGGTATTTTCCCATTCATTAGAGACTGTGTTGTACTTCCTCTTCCAAGATGGTCAGACTGCACACCACATCGACTTCTTATGCCTCCTGTCAGTCCTCCCAGAGTTTTAGGCTGGAAGTGAAAACACAAGAATCTTTCAATATTACAAGATGAAATTCCCCTCAAAGGGCCTCAGCCAGATAAATTTTCTGCCAGGCATCTCTGAGTCTCATTCTTGGGCCTGAACAAACAATATAAAGTAGTCCATTGAGAACTTTCTTTGTAATCATTGTTCATGCATGCACAGAGTTTTTGTTTCAAATTAAACAGTAACTAGGTTTGTAGATATGGTTCGTAGGACTGCATCTCAACAGACTAAGAACTGTAGCTTTGTTTCAGGGGAGACAGGATCCATGCCCTTTGTGTTATTGTTGTTAAGTTTAAATGCAGTTTTGCAACATGAAAACTGCATTGGCATGTAATTAGTTGGAATCTCTGTTGTTTGTGATACATCTGTTGCATGCTATTGTAGGGAGGGGAAAATTCTCCTCTCTATCCTTGAGTTCTTATGGCTGGACTAATAATAAAATTGACACAAGACCAGACTAACAGGAGAAAAAGCAATTTAATGTGTGCATAGGAAATCATCCATGATGCTTCAAGAAATGATGAACCAGCCAGCTTTTTGTACTTTTTAGATAAAGAAACAATATGTTTGTGAAGAATTGAGAGGACAGAGACACTTAGGTTTGGGTGCTCGTTAGTGAGGAACGCAAAGTTGGGGCTTGGGTACTAAATTAGGAAAGGAGTAACAAGGTTCATTTATATAAGCTTTTTGAACGGATTCCTTAACTCTAGCAATAAGCGTGTCTCTAGCAAATAGCAATGTCTCTAGCAAATAGCAATGTCTCCCTTAGGCCCCAAGCAGCAAGGAGGGCACCTTTCACAATGGAGATTTATTTCCTGCATCCAAGGAGACAAGAGCTAATGTACCCTTCTTGCACCAGCTGTTTGTCAAGCAACTTTAATTCAAAGTAATCAATATGGCATTGTGGGATATTTAGGGCAGCCTGCCCTGGGCCCTGACTCTGTTTTCAAAGCTCACTGCTATATTAGCTCTGAAATCAAGCTTTTCTTAACAAAGCTGTAGGCTTTACTAAGATCAAGGCTGTATATGTCAGATTCCTATTGAAAAGATTTTTAAAGTGAATGATAAGCAGCGAATATATATAAGAACAATTTGTCTTGGAGCTGCAAAGGCAAAACTCATTTCAGTAAATACATGTCTTCACACAGAAGAATAATGACGGCAATGTTTGTTTTGGTTCTTTAATTATCTAGCTGATATCTTTAGGAAAGTGAGAATTCCACGTTTGAAAAGGCACCAAAATCTAATTAAAAATGAGACACCTAAAGGGATTTTATCAATGAAGCAGTTTGATTGGTTGTAAACGTGGAAGCGATTTTGTGCTTTGTAAAGGCTGTTTGCAGACCAGAATTTTAAACTAAACATGAACAATTCAGCATTTAGCCATGTTCTTCAGAAGTCATTTGATAGAGCCTTTATTTCTACAACATAATAATTCAAGCTTTTGACTTAGATCCAAAAGATAATTCTGGCACTTGAATAGTATCTGGGAGCAACTTGTCATGCCTGTATTGTGGAATCGGTTTTCAAAATGAAAGGCAAAGAATGCTGGCCATCGCAGCACATACTAGTTATTGATGCTCCAGAGGGCACATGGTGTGTTAAATGGTGGACATCTTTATACACATTGCCATATTTTATCTAAGGCATTTTTTAACTAGTGATATTTGGGGTATGGGAAAGAAAAAATAATTAACCTAATTGTTTAAGCCAATTGCCATGCATGAATATTTTGAGGTGATACTAAGACTTTAATAGACTTATTTTTTAGAATGGCTTTAGGTTTACAGAAAAATCGAGAGAATAGTACTGAGAGTTCCCATATACCTTGCACTCAGTTCCCATATTATTAACATCTTAAATTAGTACAGTGTATTTGTTAAAATTAATGAATTAATGAACCAACATCGGTACATTGTTATGCACTAAAGTCCAGAGTTTATTCAGATGTCCTTAGTCTTTACCTACTCTCTTTTTCTGTTCCAGGATCCCACCCAAGGATGCTATATTACATTTAAATGTCTTGTCCCCTCTTGGCTGTAACAGTTTCTTAAATTTGTCTTGTTTTTGATGACCTTGAACTTTTTGAGGAATATTGGTCCAGTAGTAGAATACCCTAGTATTGAAATCTGTCGTTTTCCTTAAGGTTGGACAGGGGTTATGGTTTTTGGGGGAGGAAGACCACAGAGGTAAAGTGCCATTTTCATCTCGTTATATCAAGTGATATGATTGTTGATATTGACCTTGATTACCTGCTGAGGTAGTAGTCGTGAGGTTTCTCCACTGTGAAGTTCCTCTTACCTGTCTTGTTCCGTTGTCTTTGGGACTAAGTCTCTATGCGCAACCCAAGTGTAAGCAAGATTTTTTTTTTCTTTTACTTTCCAAAATGGATCAAGATGCTTGTTTTGAATAAAGCAGAAATATGTTGAACCACGGAATTCGGGATCAAATCCTTGAGAAATACCATAAATTAAATACAAGTATTCAGGTGTGCACATTATTATTATTTCGTTGTTGTTGTTGTTGGAAGATGGCGGGTTGGGTTAATTGTTACAGTATAGCTGTGAAGTGCTATATTGTCCTTTCCCCTGCTGAAAGCAATTGTTTCCTACAATCTCTGTCTGCTCATTTCTATAGTAAGACAGGGACGCTTGGTCTCAAACATCATGTCTCCAAGTATTATTATGGAAACTGTTACATCTACTTAATTGACGTGTTAACATAGTTAGTCATTGTCTGTCTTTTAAGGTTGTGTTGCTTTCTGCCTCAGTGCCAGTCGATCTGCTGTAAGACATCAGAAAGTTCATGAGAGATCCATTTTTAAATTCTGGTGAAGAAGGAAGAATGGACCCTTGAAAGGATCAATATTTTATAATAATTTTGAAAGTGGGTAATGTTTTTTCTAATTGGTATACCTAAAAATTATAGCCAGATTTTTTTTAACCTTATTTAAGCTCTATGCTTAAATGGCAGAAACTAGTATCATGTCTAAGTAATTGTAATAAAGCTAGCAGAGTAGACACAAAAAGATAAACAGCTATACCAGATAGTAGAAAAACTAAGATGAACCTCTTTCTTAAGTCCTTTGTTTTAAGACTAGTACAATAATATCTGTATTTAAACAGAATTAATAGAATGAATTTATAACTGGTCTCTTACGATGGTAAGGATGAGAGTTAGAAATCAAATGGCTTTTTATTGAGACTCTGATATGAACTAACATTTTCCTCTCTGAAATACTGTAGGGAAGGAAATTGTAGGTTCTTTGTGACACGTGAGAGGCCCACCAGTACACAGGCTGTTCTTTTTCAGAACACAAGACAAAGTGTAGCTGGCTTCTGAGAAAAATATGTGCCAGGAATTTCAATTTCTGATGAGATAAGAGTGGTTCTTACCCAGCACTGCTAATTAAGCCACTGTTACGATCTAATTATTTTCTTGATAAACTGAGGCAGGAACTAATTACAGTGTAGCTGTGAAGCGCTGCATTGTCTTTGCCCCCTACTCAGAATAAAACTGTTTCCATTCTAGCCCTGTGGGCCATGGTGCTGCAGCCACCAGGGATGCATGGTCTCACACATGTTTACCATTTAAACACTGACGTGACTCTTGAGCATTAAGTCTTGTTAATATTTCGTAAGTGGTGACAGAAAGAGACATTATCAAGAGGGAATTTAGATAAGGAACAAACTGCATTTAGGTTACTACTGACTTATTGGGAATTCAATTCCTTGTTTAATTACAATATTTATCTCCCAAAAGCTGGTTTTGAGAGGAAGATTTTTAGTTGTCTTCGTCAGCTCACACTATGTGGGAGAATAAAAACCATACTCTGCAGTGAACTGTATGCTGTCTATGCAAGTCATTACTGTTTTGTGGCCTAGAAGACTATAGCTTTTGAATCAAAATGTGAACATATACTATTGTACCTCAGTCTCCTGATTTTTATGTACAACTAGTGTTATGGTTATAAACGATGATGAAAACTATATTCTTAGTTGAATATATGTCCTCTTCATTGAATTCCCTACTTTTATTCCAGTGAATTAAAGTCATGTATTGCTTTTCAAGTGTGGTTTTGCCAACCTGCCTACCTTGAAAATCAGATAAATGAATCAGGAAAATAATCTTATCGCCTAGTAATGTGATAAGATGTATTAAATTGTACTTTGAGAAGATTCATGGTTGATCAAAACACAGTGGGAAAGCAAATGTGAAATAAGAAGTCCAGGTTTTGGACTTTAATCAGTTGATATTCAAAGGAAAATCAGTAACGCTTTTATATCTGATTGCCTTGGCTTACACATGAATCTTTTTTTAGCCATGTTGCCCATTTCTTGTGCTTTCTTGATGATTCCTCTATAACAGAAATTTTCTGTTATTTTCTGGTAGGACTTTATACCCTGGTATAGGTATAGTGGCTTTATCACTAAATAAATTGAACAATGTCTCGCTACTAATGTAAAAATAACCTTGTTTTGAAAAAAAAAAGAAAACATAGTAGCTGATAAGAATAGGTGAGAAGGTGGCGCTCAGAAATGGCACTGGCCGGATGTAGAACGAACATTCATAAGTGAAGCAGTGTGTCATTTGGATAAAGAGGGAATCAGTATTTCCATATTTGTTTTTCTCTCGTCCTGGTTATTTGGTGTTTTAAGTTGCTCCAGCCATTTTTGATTGGTTGTATTATGTATTTTGGTGGAGAGCTATGGTGGCAAACATATCTCAGTCATTTGTGTTGCAATGTGCAAAATGTCAGAAAACAGTGATAAATGCAGGTGACCATAACAAGTTTTTGGAGGTTTGCTTCCTCACACTGGAACAAGTTTTAAGTCCTCGATCAAGTCTGTCCAATAGAACTCTCTGCAGTGACGGAAATGTTCTATATCTGTGCTGCCCAACACAGTAGCAATGGGCCATGTGTGGCTACTGAAATTTAGTTAATGCAACTAAAAAACCAAATTTTCTTTTTTATTTAATTTTAATTAATTTCAACTTAAATAGCCACGTGTGGCTAGTGGCTATTGTATTGGACAGCATAGTCTTAAATAATAGTTAACATTCCAGAGTTTATATTTGCAGTTTATAGTTCCAAAAGTGTGTCAAAAGGAATTACATAACTGTTCTTTTTGCTTTGCTCCTGGTGTTCCTATCTGTCCCAGGCTGACACCTGCTCTTGGCCCACTTTGATTTCATTTAACTGCCCCAAACTAAAACTGTCATCTGCTTTATAAATAATAATGTTCAAGATACCTGATAGAATCCAGTCTTGCAACCAAATGAATTCTTTTGCACTAACTACAAAAGACATCATTTCTTTTGTCCTAGATATTATGATTAGCATCTACTCCTCTAATTACAAGTACTCTAGGTATAATCTTGGCAAATAAATAGCCATTGATAGATAACAAGTAGCTCATATTGTTAGTGCTTCCTATAGTATTTGGTAAGTAATATTCTGATTAGTAATTTTTCTTTTGTTCAGAATTGGCAGTAGGAGGAAAGCAATGGCCATAAGCATTGAAGAAGACAAAGGATTCTTCACTGAGACTTTCTACCATACTATAGTGGAAGAAATTTCAATGAATGTGGCTGACTTTATTTTATTCCTTTGGTGATATAGTGAATGTAGTGTTCACTGTTGCTGAATAGGTGACTGCAACATGCATTGTGCTTCTTTCTTTGGGAATATTTGAATCTTATCTGAGTACACATAACAGATCAAAAATACAGATTTTGATAACAAAGTGACTTGAGTCACAAGCTCTTTTGAGGAAAATCGTTGACTTTCCTCTTTCAAGTTAGACTATTGGGATTGTGTATGAAAGATGAGACTATAAAAATCTTTCTTAGAAATTTATTTTCTAGTTCTGTAAAACCTGTTATATTGAGTGTTCTCTATCATTTAAAGAAATATTTGTGGACTGAAAATTATGTCCTGTATATAAGCAGCCAATTCAACTAGTGATCTGCCTTTATTGTGTTAGTCATTAGACTGAATAGAATAAACTTTTAAATAATTTAAAAATTATATTTGAATTCATTTTATTCGGTATTGTGTTTTTATTCAGTAAAGCATTTCATGAGTGGAGACTTTTGCTAAACACCAGCAACGATTATATCCTAGGGTTAAATCCCAGAAAAATTACCATATTATATATTGAATGTTCAATAAATTACAATAAAATACATTTTTAAATGTTGTTTGGTCCTTATTCCTTTAAGATTTGTACTTTTTGCCATAACTCCATATTTTCAAAGGAAGAAGATAAAAGGGCATTTTGTAGTATATGTTTTATTTTAGTTACAAAATTACATACAAGGGATACAGCATATGTGGCTTTTCACTGAAAGGTTTAATAGTTCTAAGTTGACTGCAGCTTGGAAGCAGCACAAAGACCAATCCACTGCAGGTGTTCACCAGCACCGTGTGCTCAGCATTATCTTCTTCTTTGAGGAAAAAGAAGCATTAGAATGTAAGATTTCTCTCTCTCCCGTGTGGCAAACATTTCCTGGTACATACAGTGTAGCTATTTAACAGCAAGGTTTTCTATTAATAAACTAATGAATCAGTGAAGTTCTTTTTCCATAACTATGACATGGAGTTGCTATAATAGGTCCTGTCACAGAAGGATTGACATTGAGTGTGATCTTTGTTTTTTCTACTCACAAATTACTTATTTAGCAATCCTTGTCTTAACCACACCTTATAATTTGTCAAAAGAACCACTCTGACAGGCAGCGAATATTATGCCGGTTGTTTCAATTGTTACTGCCTAGAAAAAAATATGGTAATGAACTTCTAGGTGAGAACAGCCCTCTGTCTTTTCTAAGCCCTAGTACTGCTGCTTGCATTTATCATAAAACTGCTGTTGCGACAAAACAAATGCTAGGATCCCTGGAAGTATGAGATCAATTAAAAGTCATCATTGTCTCTAGTAAGTAAGTATGCAAAAGGAGATCCTAAAGAATAAGATGTAGGGGATGTCACCTATCCTGATGTTCATCCCCTACAGAGATTGGAAGTCAGGTGGAAAGAACTACATAGAGACAAAAACAAGCAAGCATGATTTGTGTTGTATTAAGAAAAGATATACCTATAAAACTTACCAGAAGGCCTTCACAGCCCTGTTGAATGATGTGGATTTTATTTAGGATCAAGGTCATCCATCCAAGGACACCTTCGATTACTTTCCTGAATGCAGTAGCATGAGGTACTACTTCTGCCACAACTGCCCCTCGCAGGGCCCTGCTCCCACTTTCTTCCTCCTCCGTATGTGGCCCTCTGCTGTCCTTTCAACGCTCTTAGACTTCCTGTGTGCTCTTCCAAGCATCAGACCAACTGTTCCCTGGATGTTTTCAGTCTGATGATTCAATATGTTCAAAACCAAACTTAGCATCTTGCTCCAGTGCTACTTATCTCATTACCTTCAACTTCATTCTCTTATCCAGACCGTTATGGATTAATCTTGTATCCTGCAACCCTGCTATAATCACTCATTAGTTCTAGGAGGTTTTCTTGGTTGATTCTTTTGGATTTTACATAAATAATCCTGTCATCTGCAAACAAAGATAGTTTTATATCTCCTTTCCAATCTGTATACTTTTATTATGATGTTGAAAACCAGCAGTGAGATGTTTAAAAACGGTTCTGTAGTCTTATAAATGGGTCTCAGTCTCTAAGTGAGCCTCTGCCCCTCAGCTGTGAACTTCATATATGCTTCTTATTTCTTTCACTCCTAACCCCGCCCTTTGATGGGACAGTATAGCTAGATGATTTATGCCATATCCATTAAACACTAAAAGTGGTGTTGCTTGCAGGCTGATTTGAGAGGGCTGCCATATGGATTTATACTTATTCCTCAACCTTCCACACTCATTGACTAAAACTGTACTGGGGAAGGGGTTTCCTGAGATGCCAGACTGGCAATGCTAACTCAACAGTCCTGGGCAAATAGGAACAGTCGTTCGCTGTCCTCAGTTCAACATAATTATGAAATTTTAAAACCAAAACTTCCTTTCCAGAGCAGCTTGAATTGTTTAGCCACTGTTTACGTTAATTATAATTAAACTCCACAGATAGTTTTGACCTGATGAGGGGAAGATTTAGGAAAGGTAAACTACTCTTTTATAGTACTCAGCTTCTCTTTTATAATAAAAGAACACCTAACTCCTCCAAGTTGAACATAGTCACTAGGCGGCTTTTCCCAACCAAAAGCAAAAGCACTTCCATGATCTAAATTCATTAATTACAACTAAACGATATTGCCCCCAACTCTTGCTTTGCTGATGGAGACCACACACATGCGATCAACACCCACTCTTCTGGTTTACACAGATTCTTAAAACTTCTTTAAAGCATATCTTCTACCTTCCATATTCAAAGTGCAAGATAGAGAACTGGGGAGAAACCTACAGGCCTGCCCAGCCTGGAGAAAGAAAATGCTGAGCCCTACAGAAAACAAAGCAATCCCCACAATGCATGCAAAGCTTAGCAACTGTCCACAACAGAATGCCGTGGGGGCAGCTGCCTTTGTGTGCTCGCAGTGCAGTTCAGTGACCAATCCACAAACTGGAAACTCCAGGGCTACCCCTGTCTGAGCCTAGAGTTATTGTGTAACCTCAAGCACCCCTCACTACACTCTGATGTGGTGACTCCATCTGCAAAGTAGGGACAAATATCGATGTATTGTTATCGAGGGGATATAAAAATTACAGATGACTCAGAGACTGCTGAAAATAGGAAACAGGAAAGACTATAGGAGAAAACAGGACGAAGAACTTCTTAAAGGAAAATATGCAAACATTTGGATCGTAACGCGGGTTTGTTTCTATTGGAATTGAGAAGAAGGAGCAGATATCTTTAGCATTCTCTTTCTTAATAGACAAAAGTAGTCAGAAGAATAAAGAGTAGAAGTAGGAACATCAGAAAAGAAAGTCGAATACCCCACTCCAAATACTTTTCAGTTTCGGAGCTGTGCCCTTCAGTTACTCAACAATATTTCTTCACAAGGGAGCTCGCTAAACTTTTCTGGAAGCAACGAGTTCATACACCTAAAGGCCACAAATTTCCCTAATGATCTTTGATTTTTTTTCTACTTCATTCATGCTGTAAACTCATTTCTTTGAGTCCACTTTTTTTTTTTTATGGTTAACGATATTCAGTAAGTTTCAGGTGTACAATTCAACAGTAAGTCATATGTATTGTGCGTTTACCACCCATAGTTAGATTTCTTTTTGTCACCACATATGTGACCCCTTTTACTCCATCTACCTCTCCTCTCCCCGCTACCCTCCGGTAACTGCTACAAGTTCATTGTCCTTGTCCATGAGTCTCTGTTTGTTTGTCCTGTTTGTTTGTTTCTTTTAGGTTTATATCCTACATATAAGTGATATTATGTGGTTTTCGACTTTTTCTGTCTGGCTTATTTCGCTTAGCATGATTATCTTGAGATCCATCCACGTTGTTGCAAATGGCAATATTTCATCTCTTCTTAGGGCTGAATAATTTTTCATTGTATATATGTACCACAGCTTCTTTAGCCAATCATTTATCATAGGACACTTTGGTTGCTTCCATGTCCTGGCCACTGTGAATAATGCTGCTATGAACATCGGTGTGCAAATATCTTTTCTGATATGGGTTTTCAAGTCTTTGTGGGTAAATACAAAGTAGAAGAATTGCTGGATCTTATTATGGTAGATCAATTCTTAGTTTTTGAGGAACCTCTATACTGTTTTTCATAGTGGCTGTACCAATTTATATTTCCACCAACAGCGTATGAAG